CTACCACCACTACCACCACTACCACCACTACCACCACTACCACCACTACCACCACCACTTCCTACTACTATCTACTACCTCCCTCCACCTCATATTAACAGCTCTGCCTTTAATTCACTACTACCACTATAATCATCAACCATTACACTCGTCTGACATGCTGTTGCGAAGATGCGGTTTTTCAGTCCCCTGTAAGACAAGTGGATGGCAGGAGTGGACGGGATGTTATGACACAGCAGATACCACAAGTAACGGCTCTACGGAGAAAGTTGAACTCCTCTCTATAAGGTGGTGGGTCTCCTTTTCCTCCTCTTCATCCTCCTCTGCAGACTTCTCATTCTCCACTTCAAACTTCTCATTCTCCTGCTCATTCTCATTTTCCTTTCACCAGTTATAATCTACGCATCTTCCCAGTTCACGAAATATTTAATGATTTTTCCCTTAATGTCAAAAATATCTAATATATTTTAAATTTGGAGAGCAGGGCGATACTGACGACGTGTTAGCCAGTGAGCGTCTTATTCTCACTGTATTATTATTATAATCAAAAAGAAGCGCTAAGCCACAAGGACTATACAGCAATATTCTCACTGTAGAACCCTCTGTGGCTGGTCATCTGATCCCTCTGGTATAACTTGATCGCTCTGCTCTTACTGGGTATTATTTTTCTTCAGGATGACTCAACATATCTCGTTTACCTTAAATGTTAGGGATATTTCCCGATTAGGCAAACTTGCTTTCAGAGGAAAATAAATAGAATTATTGCACAAATCTGCAATGATCTGGACTTAAATCCTTGAAATGGGAAGTACAGTACCTTCACTCTGAAGGAGGAGGCGAGGATGTTGCACCTCGGACGGCACTTTGAGCTGTGATGTCAGCACGCTTCTGGTAAGACAGCTATTAAATGAATGATGGTAAATGTGTTTTCCCTATTTTGGGGTCACCCTACCTTGGTGGGAGACGGTCGGTGGATTTAAAAGAATCTTAAATGACTTTGCTACCAAATACTGTGATGTCATTGATTGTCGCACCACCCAAAGTGGTGGCAGGACTACTAGAGGTTGCCTACTGAGTGGTAACTAAAGTTCACCCCTATTATTTGTATTCACCTACTTGTGGTTGAAGAGCTGGAGTCTAACTTCCTGGTCCTTACTCTTAACCTGCTTTTGTTGAGTTCATTCACGGCATTAGGATCGTAAAGGTTCTTTTTAAAAAGACGGTTTTGTTATGATTTTCTCATTTAATTCTACTGTAGTCATCCTAGTGGTTGTGCACTAGGATGTCAGCACCTCAGCAGTGGTAGCCGCGTTGGTGGGATTTTCTTAATGATTTAAGATTCTTGTTACTTTATAAAAATGAACATTTCTAGTCTCAAACTCCGTGAGTACAAAAAAGTAAAGAGTGTTTTGCGATTACCGTAAGGAGAATCAAGCCTTCACAACTCCTTCCGCTGAGTAACCCACGAAGGCTTATCTTCACAAAGATTTAATAAATAATATAGATGTTTGCTTCACTCTCTACTTTTTATCTTAATTTTATGTTGACTGAGATGTGCTAATAGGACAAGAGCCGGTTCTGCTCTTCTTTCGACTCCGCTTTTGCTAGGTGACACTGCTGCTAGTCTGGTGACGCCTCGAGTGTTGTAGCGTGACACTACTACTAGTCTAGTGACGCCTCGAGTGTTGTAGCGTGACACTACTACTAGTCTAGTGACGCCTCGAGTGTTGTAGCGTGACACTACTACTAGTCTAGTGACGCCTCGAGTGTTGTAGCGTGACACTGCTGCTAGTCTAGTGACGCCTCGAGTGTTGTAGCGTGACACTGCTGCTAGTCTAGTGACGCCTCAAGTGTTGTAGCGTTTACGTAGATACTGAGTGGCAAAGGTTCTTAGTGGCTTCGGGCTGTTTGCTTCATCTCAGACAGACAGAGATACTGAGAAAGTGTATTAGATTATTTAGTCACTGGTGGGAGGTAAGTGTCTGTATCTTGGTTCTTCTGAGTCGTGTTCTTCAGAGTGCTGAGTCGTGAGATACCTTTCACTGGGTCGTAAGGATTTGTGTACTCGCCTATATGTACTTTCCTATATGTGGTTGCAGGGGTCGATTCACAGCTCTTGGCCCAGCCTCTTCGCTGGTCACTACTAAGTCCCTTCTCTCCTGGCTCCAAGAGCCTTATCGCACCTCTTCCTAAAAGCTAAGTAGCCTGCCTCTGCTACTTGGCAACTCTAAGACTGAAGAAATACTTCCTAACATCCCTATGACTCATCTGCATTTTCAACTTGCAGATGTGCCCTTTTCTCTGTCCTTCCTATCTCTGAAACACTGTGGCCTTGTTCACCGTGTCAGTTCCTCTCAGTATCTTATACATCGTTATCATGTGGTCCCTATCCCTCCTGTTCTCCAGTGTCATCAGATTGAGTTCCCTAAACTTCTCTTCGGACATACCCCTTAGCTCTAGAACTAGTCTTGTTATTTCACCAGGTGTAGGTTCCATACTGGTGCTGCATACTCCAACATGGGCATGACGTATACGGTGTACAGTGTCGCGAATGACTCCTTTCTCTGATGTCGAAGCGCTATTCTCAGGTTTGCCAGGCACCCGTAGGCTGCAGCAGTAATTTGGTTGATGTGCGCCTCAGAAGTTGTGCTCGGTATGATGCTCACCCCAAGATCCTTTTCCTTAAATAAGGTTTGTAGTCTTTGATCCCCGAGCTTTGTGTGCGTGTGTGTGTGCGTGCGTCTGTCCGTCCTTAATACAGAATGGCTTGATCTAGTGAGTAAAAAACATTAAATTATTTTAGTTTACATTTCATATCACAGAATAATTCGGTAATAATCATAAAGGTATTTGATATCCCGGTGAGTAGTGGAGAAAATAAGTTAGATGAACACTGCTTCAGACGATGCCGCTCCAGAACTCCCATATCTTTCCAATATGCGCATACCTTTCCAGCACCCCCTACCTTTCCAGTACCCTACCTTTCAAGCCCCCCTCCCTATCTTTTCAGAACGCCCACAATCTTTCCAGCACGCTCCCTATCTTTCCAGAATGCCCCCTACCTTTCCAGCACCCTCCCCTGTCTTTTCAGGACGCCACCCTATCTTTCCAGCACTCTGCCTATATTTTCAAAACGCTCCCTACCTTTCCAACACCTTTCCCTATCTTCTCAGCCCTTCCCTAATTTTCTAGCACCCAGTTACTGGATGAGTGAGACACACCTGCAACAGATGTGTATCTTTATTGCCACAACGTTTCGCCTTCATTGTAGACTTCTTCAGTCGAATTTAAAGAAAAGGGATGAAACAGTGGAGACATAAAGATGATGTAATCAGTCCATCAAGCTTGCAGCAGTAATTCTGAGGTGGTCAGTCCCTCAGCCTGGAGAACTGCTCAACTCTATAGTCTTGAATTCTCCAGGATGAGGACATGACCAAAATTATTACTTCGTGGTTAATGGATGGATCACATAATCTTTACCACTCCACTGTCTCCTTTGTATTGAAAGAAGTCTAACGTGTAGGCGATACGTTTTGGCAGTTAAAACACCCAACTGTTGCACATGTATCTGCCTCATCTACTTGTTGGTACCGAGGCACCACCAAGCTAACTTTCCTTTCCAGAACATCCCTACCTTTCCAGCACCCCGTTACATTTCTGCACCACCCTGTTTCTGTAGCACCTCAGTACCTCACATCTTTCCCCTCTCCTTTACCTTTCTCCCGAAGATAATTTAAATTCCTTCAAATACTTCCTGATAAGCAAGGCTGTGTTTTCTGGGAGCACCAACAACCTGACTGAAATAGGCTTGCTTTGAGACGGGGCAGCAGGGACGATGTCACCCTGGACCATAAATAATAGATTACCCAAGTTCTTCCTCCCTTACACTCGGTGGTGGTGGTGGTGGTGGTGGTGGTGGTGGTGGTGGTCTTGGTGGTGGTGGTGGTGGTGGTGGTGGTGGTGGTGGTGGTGGTGGTGGTGGTGGTGGTGGTGGTCTTGGTGGTGGTGGTGGTGGTGGTGGTGGTGGTGATGATGGTGGTGGTGATGGTGGTGGTGGTGGTGGTGGTGATGGTGATGGTGGTGATGGCGATGGTGGTGGTGGTGGTGGTGGTGGTGGTGATGATGGTGGTGGTGATGGTGGTGGTGGTGGTGGTGGTGGTGGTGGTGGTGATGGTGATGGTGGTGATGGTGATGGTGGTGGTGATGGTGGTGGTGGTGATGGTGGTGGTGATGGTGGTGGTGGTGGTGGTGGTGGTGGTGGTGGTGGTGGTGGTGGTGGTGGTGGTGGTGGTGATGGTGGTGGTGATGGTGGTGGTGGTAACGGTAACTGTGGTAGTGGTGATGGTGGTGGTGATGGTGGTGGTGGTAACGGTAACTGTGGTATAAGTTAATACACGTGACATTAGGTGTTGTGTGTTGGGGTGGAGGTATGAATGGCACTTGTGGAGGGAATGGCACATATGGAAGGAGTGGCACTTGTGGAAGGCGTGGCACTTGTGGAAGGGGTGGTACTTGTGGAAGGAGTGGCACTTGTGGAGGGGGTGGTACTTGTGGAAGGAGTGACACTTGTGGAAGGAGTGGCACTTGTGGAAGGCGTGGCACTTGTGGAAGGGGTGGTACTTGTGGAAGGAGTGGCACTTGTGGAAGGAGTGGCACTTGTGGAGGGGGTGGTACTAGTGGAAGGAGTGACACTTGTGGAAGGAGTGGCACTTGTGGAAGGGTGGTACTTGTGGAGGGATTGGCACTTGTGGAAGGGTGTTACTTGTGGAGGGATTGGCACTTGTGGAGGGAATGGCACATATGGAAGGAATGGCACTTGTGGAGGGAGTGGCACTTGTGGAGGGGGTGGTACTTGTGGAAGGAGTGGCACTTGTGGAAGGAGTGGCACTTGTGGAAGGGTGGTACTTGTGGAGGGATTGGCACTTATGGAGGGAATGGCACATATGGAAGGAATGGCACTTATGGAGGGAGTGGCACTTGTGAAGGTGAAGGCTATATAAGCTCCAGTAACTGGCCGAGAGCTTCAGTACCCAGCTGGTTGCCGTCGCTGGTGTGCCGGTCTCACCTTCCCTGAGCGACCACCACCACTGCTGCTGCTGTTGCACCTCGCATTTACAGGTAAATAAATCAGTCAGCACAAGAATATACACTGAGAGGTGTATATTGTTGTGATGAATAAAGTAAAATGTGAATATACACTGACTTTACTTTAATCCCTCTTTTAGGGATTAGAATATTTTTCACTGGTGGTAAATAGGTAACTCTGAGTCGTTAGGATCAGAAACCAACTAAATTAGATAACTAAAAGCATCGTACAATTGTTTTAATGCAAAAGTTTTATAATAGTTTTATTGGTCAATAATGTTCATAGATGATGAGTATCAGAAGGCAGAATTCCTTTTCTTTTTCTATTTCGGACATTTCCTAAATATACTAAAGAAAAAGTCGGGCTCCAGTACGACCCACGGTACTCTTGTGGGAACCCACGGTACTCTTGTGGGAACCCACGGTACTCTTGTGGGAATCCACGGTACTCTTGTGGGAACCCACGGTACTCTTGTGGGAACCCACGGTACTCTTCTGGGAACCCACGGTACTCTTGTGGGAACCCACGGTACTCTTGTGGGAACCCACGGTACTCTTGTGGGAACCCACGGTACTCTTGTGGGAACCCACGGTACTCTTGTGGGAACCCACGGTACTCTTGTGGGAACCCACGGTACTCTTGTGGAACCCACGTACTCTTGTGTGAACCCACGGTACTCTGTGGGAACCCACGGTACTCTTGTGGGAACCCACGGTAACTCTTGTGGGAACCCACGGTACTCTTGTGGGAACCCACGGTACTCTTGTGGGAACCCACGGTACTCTTCTGGGAACCCACGGTACTCTTGTGGGAACCCACGGTACTCTTCTGGGAACCCACGGTACTCTTGTGGGAACCCACGGTACTCTTCTGGGAACCCACGGTACTCTTGTGGGAACCCACGGTACTCTTGTGGGAACCCACGGTACTCTTGTGGGAACCCACGGTACTCTTGTGGGAACCCACGGTACTCTTGTGGGAACCCACGGTACTCTTGTGGGAACCCACGGTACTCTTCTGGGAACCCACGGTACTCTTGTGGGAACCCACGTACTCTTGTGGGAACCACGGTACTCTTGTGGGGAACCCACGGTACTCTTGTGGGAACCCACGTACTCTTGTGGGAACCCCCGGTACTCTTGTGGGAACCCACGGTACTCTTGTGGGAACCCACGGTACTCTTGTGTGGGAACCCACGGTACTCTTCTGGGAACCCACGGTACTCTTCTGGGAACCCACGGTACTCTTGTGGGAACCCACGGTACTCTTGTGGGAACACACGATACTCTTGTGGGAACCCACGGTACTCTTGTGGGAACCCACGGTACTCTTGTGGGAACCCACGGTACTCTTCTGGGAACCCACGGTACTCTTGTGGGAACCCACGGTACTCTTGTGGGAACCCACGGTACTCTTCTGGGAACCCACGGTACTCTTCTGGGAACCCACGGTACTCTTCTGGGAACCCACGGTACTCTTGTGGGAACCCACGGTACTCTTGTGGGAACCCACGGTACTCTTGTGGGAACCCAAGGTACTCTTGTGGGAACCCACGGTACTCTTGTGGGAACCCACGGTACTCTTGTGGGAACCCACGGTACTCTTGTGGGAACCCACGGTACTCTTGTGGGAACCCACGGTACTCTTGTGGGAACCCACAGTACTCTTGTGGGAACACACGGTACTCCTGTGGGAACCCAGGGTACTCTTGTGGGAACCCACGGTACTCTTGTGGGAGCCCAGGGTACTCTTGTGGGAACCCACGGTACTCTTGTGGGAACCCACGGTACTCTTGTGGGAACCCACGGTACTCTTGTGGGAACCCACGGTACTCTTGTGGGAGCCCAGGGTACTCTTGTGGGAACCCACGGCACCCTTGTGGGAACACACGGTACTCTTGTGGGAACCCACGGTACTCTTGTGGGAACCCACGGTACTCTTGTGGGAACCCATGGTACTCTTGTGGGAACCCACAGTACTCTTGTGGGAACCCACGGTACTCTTGTGGGAACCCACGGTACTCTTGTGGGAACACACGGTACTCTTGTGGGAACACACGATACTCTTGTGGGAACCCACGGTACTCTTGTGGGAACACACGGTACTCCTGTGGGAACCCACGGCACCCTTGTGGGAATACACGGTACTCTTGTGGGAACCCACGGTACTCTTGTGGGAACACACGGTACTCTTGTGGGAACCCACGGTACTCTTGTGGGAACCCACGGTACTCTCATGGGAACCCACGATAATCTCATGAGGATCCACGGTACATTCTTGTGGGGGAGTTCATGGTACTCTTGTGGGTACCCACTCTACTCTCTTGAGGATCCACGGCACATTCTTGAGAGGGACTCGTGGTGCTCTTGTGGGAACCCACTGTACTCTTAGAGCCCATGGTACTCTTGTGAGACTCTTTACTTTTCAGCAAACATTCTGGTTCGGTACCTTCAAGACGGGTACACTGACGCCAATAAATTGCTCGTGATCGACAAGAACCGAAGCAACTCTCCCCTTCTTCGGATTAAATCCTTCAATTCCCCAGGCGTTGTTTAACTCCTACGGATTTAGCGCTTTCATGACTATAATAACCTAAATCAGTATTGTTTACTTTAATACGTCACATATTTAAGCCTTGAACCTGTCTACAGGTCCCATTAAGATAACTTGCAGTTTAGTGCGCAGGATTTCATGGTTCACTGTGACAAATTTTTTTTTTTTTAAATTTTAGATTATCTTCCCGACTGAAAGGCTGTTGCAATTTTGGATTCTGTTGTGATACGTAACAATGCTCCAACAAGTGCCACTGGAGTATGAGCCTTAAAGGCTGATTGCTAATCGTTATAACTTTTATCGTTATCGTATTGTTTTTTTCTTTCTATTTATGCAGTGAAGAAAATCCCTGAATGGCAGTGGGGTTTAGGCTCAGTGGTTAGTCACCTGACTGTTGTATCTGGTGTGGGCGGGAAGATTGTTTCTTGTACGCGTTATGACAGTCGGAGAAGCTTCTAAACACCAACTTCTGTTAAGATCTGGCTCTGTCAGATGTCCTGTGCTCCCGTTGACCACGCAGATGTTACTCAGGTTGTCTCTATGGTATGTATGTGTTCATTGATCCTAGTGGACACACTTCTGTCTCCCCGAAGACTTGTTGCAATGACCACACGACTTACATAGACCCAGTCTGTGAAAACTGGTGGGAGAGTAGTGAGCCGTACACTAGATGGATGTAGAAGCCTCAATAGCTAATTATATGTTGCTCCTAGCCAATGCATAAGTGTAGGTGGTTACACTTCTGCAGGGGAGAACCATGTACCAGCTGGCAGTTTGTTTCCTGGCTGTTTTGTTGAGGATGGGCTTCGCCCTTCGATGTCCTCCTCAGTCAGCAACATGTGTGCGCTGGCTAGGAAAAATATTCATTTAGTTGCACACGTCAGAAACTCACTAGGAAGTAGTCCACTATTCACTAACCGGTTGCAGCCACTGGGTCTGCACGATCCCGTGTGGTCATTATGAAATGTATGCAGGAGAAACGTAAGTTAATCCACTAGGATCGACAAACACAAATATGTGGGGTTGTACAAGGTTGTTAAGACTGAAGCCACTGGCTAAAAGTTTCCTTTAATAAATGCCATAACTCTGCACGTGTGTCTTTGTCCACACAAATACACGTGCAATAGGGACCAACCCGTGTAACGTGAGTGGTTCACAGAAATGTAGACGGACACCTGATAGATTGGACCAACACAGTTAATCATCATGGAACCAGACCTCAGTGGAAGCCATTATTTGGAAGGAAGCCTCTCTGACTGCTGTAGAAGTTATGCCTAAATCAGAATGTTACTTTATTGCCACCACGGTAGCACACAGGATCATAGTGGAACAAGCATCGCCACGACCACCACCAGCTACGCCATCAGGTGACCCATCACTGTTAAACCTCACTACCACTCAGGAATTTTCCACAATATAAGCTTATATTACCTACCCAGGTACATTTGGAGCGACCATGGTCCCAGGATCAAAATGTTTCCAAAATGTCACCAGGCCTCTGGTGGCCTGGTGGTTAACGCTCTCGCTTCACACGGTGAGGGCCTGGGTTCGATTCCCAGCCAGAGTAGAAACATTGGACGTGTTTCTTTCCACCTGTTGTCTATGTTCCCCATCAGTAAAATGGGTACCTGGGTGTTAGTCGACTGGTGTGGGTCTCATCCTGGGACACTGACCTAAGGAGGCCTGGTCACAGACCGGGCCGCGGGGGCGTTGACCCCCGGAACTCACTCCAGATAATATGTTCTAGTATTTTCATTCTGTGTTATTTTCGAACTCGCAACATTTTTAGAGATTCAACTGT